TAAACTTTGAAATTAATATGGTTCTACATCTGCCTCAATATTTCCTGCAATTATTCCATATAAGTACATTTAAATCTGCCTCATTCTTTTTCCATTACAAAGTTATGCCATAATTTATTTAAGCAATGTACTATCAATGGACATTTATTGCTTTTTTTTTAAATTTTAGAGTTGTGGAGTATATATGAGGATTTGCAAATTGCCTGCAAGTGAGGTGTGGGCTTCTAGCAAGACCCCCTCCGCCGGTCACAGCGGGTGGCTGTGTTCCCCTTATTCTCCCTCTCTTCCTCCCATTAGCAGTGCCCAGAGTCAGTTGTTCCTGCCTTTGCGCTTGCATGCTCAATGTTTTTTTTTTGTTTTTTTTTTTTTTGGAGTCTCACTCTGTTGCCCAGGCTGGAGTGCAGCGGCACACTCACGGCCACCGCTGCCTCAACCTGCTGGGCTCAGGTGATCCTTCCACCTCAGTCTTCCAAGTAGCTGGGAACTACAGGCACATACCACAATGCCTGGCTAATTTTTTGATTTATTGTAGAGATTAGGTCTCGCCAAGTTGCCCAGGCTGGTCTCGAACCCATGGGCTCAGGCAATCCTTCGCCCCAGCCTCCCAAAGTGCTTGGATTATAGACATGAGCCACCGTGCCTGGCCATGCCCAATGTTTAAGGCCCGCTTATGAGTGCAAAGCCTTTGAAGTAAGTCCAGCAGGATTATTCAAAGAGTAATTTCTTAAAATGTCCTCAATACAGGTCAATGACTTCAAACCAAATTCTATTACTACAAAGCAGCAGTCCCCATCCTTTTTGGCATCATAGACCAGTTTTGTGGAAAACCATTTTCTACAGACCGGGGAGGGGGAAAGTTTTTGGGATGATTCAAGTGCATTGTATTTATTGTGTACTTTATTTATATTATTATTACATTGTAATATATAATAAAATAATAATTATGAAACTATTATTTTGATGAGTCTGCAAGCAATTGATTTACTAAGGTCTCTGTGCAGTCAAACCTCACTGCTAATGCTAATCTGTATTTGCAGCTGCTCCCCAGCACAAGCATTACCACTGCGGCTCCACCTCAGATCATCAGGCATTAGATTCTCATAAGGAGCGTGCAACCTAGATCCTTCACATGTGCAGTTCTCAATAGGGTTTGCACTCCGATGAGAGAATCTAATGCCGCCGCTGCAGTGGAGCTCAGATGGTAATGCAGTGTTGGGGAGAGGCTGTAAATACAGATGAAGCTTCTCTCCCTGGCCAGTATCATTCTGTGGCTCAGGGTTTGGGGACCCCTGTTATAAAGGGCAAAATGATGTGGTTCACGCATGCAGCTTTCTTATTTAACACAGACACACATACGTTATGCACCAAAACTTAAGCATGACACTTTTCTGGTAAAAGAACTCGTATTTTTTTTTTTTTTGAGATGGAGTCTCACTCTGTCACCCAGGCTGGAGGGCAGTGGTGTGCTCTCAGCCACTGCAGCTTTGACCTGCTGGGCTCCTGCAATCCTTCCACCTCAGCCTTCCAAGTAGCTGGAACTAAAGGCACGCGCTACCATACTCGGTTAATTTTTTTTTTGATTTATTGTAGAGAAGTGGTCTCGCCAAGTTGCCTGGGTGGGTCTCCAACCTGCAGGCTTGGGCAATCTTCTCGCCTCGGTCTCCCAAAGTGCTGGGATTACAGGCTGAGCCACCGAGCCCAGTCAGAACTCATGTATTTAAACTGATTCTCAAAGTAGTTCAGATCCAAAGAACCAATGATTTAAAGTGAGCTTCAGATCTTTCAGACAATTATTTTAAACTCCAACAATTCTTTTTACACCTAACATATCACAGATAGCATTCCATGACAATACTTCCACATCTGTTTCTGTTTAGTGGCTGCATGAAATTCCATTGTATGACAGTACCATCATTTCTTTAACTCAATCCATATTAAAGGATACTTTAGGTTGCTCTCAGTTTTTACAGCAATGCTGCAATAGACACGTGTTCATACATCTTATTAAGCTTTTACTGATACATTTGTAAGCTAAATTCCTTGAGTTGTTTATAATATTTTAAGGCATATACAATTTTTAGAAATAGTCACAAAATTTTATATAAGAAAATATATAACACTTTGAGAAATATAACCAAACTGCCTTCTAAAATGACTGTACCAATATCAAGAGTAGTGGAAGAGGGGCCAAACCTCACTATTATGCAATATAGCCATTTAACAAACCTGCATGTGTACCCCATGAATCTAAAATAAAAAAAAATTAAAAATAAACAGTGAAAGGCAAAGTAGCCTAGTTAACCTGTACTTTCATTACAGAAGTGATTAATATGTGTATATTTATCAGCTATACATTATATATGTATATATATCTTTCTATGACCACCTATTCTTACCTTCTGCCTCTTTTCCTAATTAGTTGCTAGTCTTTTTTCCTTGTTAATGCTATGTACTCTTTAACATATGTGTTCAAGACTTTTTGGCCCAGTTTGTCTTTTAACTTAATTATGTATTTTTTTTTGCCATGAACATTTTCAAAATTTCATGTAAACAGTTATTTTTTTTCTCTATAGCTTCTGGATGGAATATTTCTAGATGGATGTTCCAGTATTTTTAAATTTCATTTTAGGTTTAAGATTGTGACCAATCTAGATGTTTTCTTAGTAAAAGATCCAACATTTACCCCAAGGGGTAAGTGTCTCAACCCATTTATTATGTAATTATTTATATCGATTTGAAATGCTTCCTTGGTCATAATATGCCATTTATTTCCTATAATCTAATTATAAATTTCTTGCCAACTCTGTAAAACTTTACTACAATTTCATAAATGAGCCCAGCCTCATCACTCTTCTTTTTCACTTTTCCTCGCATTTCTCCTGCATAATTCAGTATGAACTTGTCGTTTTGTCATGAACTCTCTTCCAATAACTAAATGAGTAACTCAATAAAAAACAACAAACAAAATCCCCTTGATATTTTGATTAAGATTACATGACATTTAAAGATCACTTAAGAAGTAAATGTTATTTCTATAATATTGAGTCTCCTAGGAACATAACACTTTATTCCATTTATTAAAATCTTCTAAATCATTAAGTATTTCAGAGTTTTCTTCATATAGCTCTTTCATATTTCTTTCAACAGTTTTTGATTAGCACTAGGTGAAAGTGAACGTAAAGTTATAGATTACCACAAAGAGATGAGGAAAAGGAGCTACCTCTAAAAGAGTCACTATTTTAAAGTAGTTTGGAATTTGCTCCAAAATAAGTAGGAAGGTCAGCATTTCCTTATCAAGCTTCTCTATTTTTAACAAAGAATGTCAGCCTTGCTTTGGCTCAACTTAGTATAAGCATCTCTGAACTCTTTGTTTGTTATAGTTATCCATCATTACGTTTCTGCAAATTCACTAGTCCTCTAAAATTCACCTTTATTGAATATACTTTTGACTTCACAGGCCGGCTAATGTTACACTCTACTTTGACTATTCAGTAAAAATTACAGTTCTTATTCTTAGAAAAATTCACATATCATATATTTTGCTTAGAATTTTAGGAGATTCAGAGTCATAACGGTCAAAAACTCCTACCGTAAAGGATGCCTGGGTTAGAATAAATAAGGTACCTACTTCGTCTGCTGCTACAGTCACCTGCAATAGTTCTACAGAAGTAATTCAAGCATAATGGCATGTTAGTCACACTTCATGCGGGGGCATTTAACTTTAAACTTTTTGGGAAATAGCTTCATACTTTATAGAAGTTAAAAAAACTACCAAAAATTCTTCACTCAGATTCCATAAAAGTTACCATTAGAATATTTAAGTTTTAAACAACTTTTATTTGAGCTTTTTACTATATTGCAGCTCAAGTTGCTTAAACAAGCAAAGAACCAATTTAAGATCTAGGGAGTATTAATAACAATCTTAGTAGAAGACTAACTCTCACTAACAATTCCAAAAATCACCAAATCTACAAAACTAAAATAGTTTTCTTAACTACATCAGCAGCAAAACCTGACTAAGCCAGTTTATAGTAATTATTTATCTATTATAATGTAAACATTCATAGGTTTCACTGTAGAAATAGTACTGTTTGACTCTGCAGTGCTGCCCCAGGCCTAGGAGGGGTAAATGCAATATACAGTATATGTAACATTTTCCCAAGGATTTCACATAAGGGAATGTAGACCTTAATGTCATTATATATTATTTACTATTTGCCAGGTACTACTTTAGTTACTATTTCATTTAATCCTCTCAATAACCCAGTAAATTAAATCTTGCCCAAGATTACCTAATATGAATAAAATGGTAGGTGATATGCAAATTCACGTTTGTCTGAGTCAAAGCTTTAACCGACTTTTGCAAGTTAATTGAAAAAGTATTGAAAACTAGTCTCTTAAAAACAAAATACGTAGGAGCTGATTAGTATTCTAGGAATAGATTTCACATCCCTTTCTTCCCTCCTTCCAGTAAATACCACTGAAATAATCTAAAACCCTGGTCATTTTATGTGAGTGGCTGACACAAGTATCCTGAACAAAGTACTTCCAAATGTCTTTTTTATTTTTTGCCCCTACAAGTAAAGTATAGGACATTGGAATCCTGATTCTGTCATACATTATATTAATAATCTGGTCCAAGAAAAGACTAGAACTATACATTTAAAAAGTATGTATCCTATATTTGGCAATCATAGGTGCTTACTTACACAATTCTTCTTTTACTGATGGTTTTACACCAGTTACTTATATACATCCCTTATATTCATATGCACATTAACATCTGAGATGCTTCTCAAAAGATAAGAAGAATACACACACACAAGTCCAAATTTTTATTAGAGTCACATGACAAAATTACCACTATTATCTTGTCATGGACCAGTAACAGTTTACAGATCAACCTTTGGGTAGCAATATTCCATAGTAAACCAAACCTTAAAGGATGTTCCTGATCAAATCAGATCACGTGATACACTAAAAGAAAGTTAAAAACTTACTTCTTATCAAAAAATGTTGAATTCTCTCTTCTCTTGGTGAATCCATTGGGTAGAAGTTTTAAATTAATACCTTGCCTTCGAGCACGATTTTTCATAAAGTGCATCTAATAGTCAAAAACAAACAAATGAATTTTAAAAAGTCTTAAATTTAAAAAGTTAGTAAAACAATGTTCAGTAATATAACAGTTAAGATTTTCTGAGAATGTATCATGTTTCACAAACAGCTCTAAGCAGTAATGTCATGTTTCACAAACAGCTCTAAGCAGTAATGTCACTTAATCTTCACAATGCTACTATAAGATAGGTATTATCATCTCTATTATAGAAATAAAAATTAAGTTCCGAGAGGTAGAACTTATATTCAAACAGGTCTAATTCCAGAGCCTATGCTTTTAACCATATGTTCTGTGATCCAAAAAAAGAATTTCATGGAGATTCAAAGAAAATACAGGTCATTTGGCAATCATAGGTGCTACTTACACAATTTTTTATCTCTTTTACTGATGGTTTTATACCAGTTAATTCTATATATCCCTGCTGTTACTAGACAGGTGGCTCACTAAAGGGAGGAACCATGGCACGGCCTTGTACAAGGCATAACTTAACCCTCTGCACTTAGATGTTTCCTCTGAGGGAACATCGTAAATCTAGCAAACCACTTGGATGTCCCCTCTTGTGGACACAAAGCGACTGTTGGTGATTATAAAGGACAGACTTATGCAAGCACAAACTTCAAAAAGATATGTTTCCTTGAAGTTTTCCATTCAAATTGAACAAAAAAGCAAATAAAGAGATGGAATATATTCTGAGTGAGATATGATCAATCAGTTGAGAAATGGCTTTCAGGAATCATGAGTGCATCCTTCCACATCTTCTTTGAACAACAGACTAGACAATAAATTACAGATTATTAATGTAGGAGAAGGAAAATGAGACTGCATTGTCTGCTTGAATATAAAAATATCAAGTGGAAGACGTCAAAAAAATTACTATTGCATAACATGCATCAATTAACCTGTAACACATATTGGTGACTGTCACACACGTAACCATGTGTTAGAAAAATAAAAGATATAAAATTTTGATTTTTTTTGTCATGAGTAAGTTCCTCAATGTCCAAAATCCCATTATAAGCCAAAAGTCACTGCAATAAAATAACTGATTCCAATGCTGTACTATTTAATATGAAGTGATTTGTGTTTCACTATTTTGCAAAAAAGTGCGGTCGAGTTGCTGGTAGGTGGTCCATGAGATGTCTCCGAGTGCAAAAGGTTAAAGTAGCCTCTATTGTAAGCAGTGCAAAATGGGATGAGGACATTCTGGCTCTGACATCTGTTACTACATTGACCACTTGGGTTGGTTAAGCTGAACTAGGCAACTCCAGATAGCTGTGAAGGAAGCAATATCATCAGATTTCTATTAAATCAAGGAAGAAGAAAGACCACACAAAGAAAAGTATAAATGCAAGCTTTTTGTTAAGTGAATGAGGATCTAGAATTTGCAATGTAAAGAGTTACAATCAAGTCATAAACCAAGGGAAAGGAAGGACCCGCTATCACTGGTTAGGAAGGAAAATGTTTTAAGAAATTACATGTAATTTTATAACTAGGGGACTTTAGTTTCAGTAATGGCAGTGATTATAATAGCAGTGACCACTGAAGACATCTGGGAATTCCTAATCAAAATAAGCTGAATCCCAGAATAATACACCCTCAAGATAAAGGTGAATCAGAAGTAAACATTTCCAGAGTATGGTAGGAAACTTGTATGGTTAGACTGAAATAGAAGAAAAAGAAAAAGAATCCATTAGAGTTGTAGTCATCGGACAGCCCTTGCTAGGATTCACCTTGATTTGCCTTGCTTGTGTGCAAGAAGCACTGAATAACCTTCCATACTCTAGAAAAAAGAACAATGTGGGAGGACTGACTATTAGATAACAAGTTTCAGTACAAACCTACAATAAATGAAAGAGTGTAGTATTGGTGCAGCATAGACCAGTAGGCAGTGGACCAACAGAGCTGGGCGTGGTGGCTCATGCCTGTAATCCCAGCACTTTGGGGAAGCAGAGGCGAGAGGATTGCCTAGGCCCAGGGGTTTGAGACTACATGGGGAACCTGGCAAGACTTCATCTCTACAATAAAAATAAATAAAATCAGCTGGGCACAGTGGCATGTGCCTGTAGTCTTAGCTAGTTGGAAGGCTAAAGCGGAAGGATTGCCTGAGCCCAGCAGGTTGAGGCTGCAGTAGCTGTGAGGGTGCCACTGCACTCTAGCCCGGGTGACAGAGACTTCAACTCAAAAAAAAAAAACAAGATAGTTTTGCAGAACAGTAGTAGGAACAGGACAAACTTTCCCAAAAATGGTGCTAGGGAAAATGGATTATCCATATGGAAAATTAAATGAGATCTCTACTTTACATGATACCAAAAATCAATTCCAGGTAGTTTAAAGACATAAATGTAAAATGCAAAACTATAAAGTCTTTAGATAATAAGTACAAGAGAATAGCTTCCTAATTTCAAGATAGGGAAGAATTTCTTTATAAAACATAAAACTCCTAACCATAAATGAAACAAATGATAATTTTGAGTATATTAAAATTAAGAACATCTGTTCACCATAAGACACTATACAGTGATAAGACAAGTCACAGAATAGAAGAAGCTACTTATAACATACAGCCAACTTGGATTGGAAATACCAAGAGTTCTTAAAAACCAGTAAAAAAAAAAGCTGGCCAATGAAAAGATGAGCAAAAGACTTGAAGAGGCACTCCACAAAAGAGGAAATCCAAATGGTCAATGAAATATTTGAAAGGGGTTCAATCTCATTAGAAAATTAAGGGTATTAGAATAGCAAGGCTTGTTAGCTCCTCCTTCAAAATCGGAATCTAAGTATTCTAATAGCATGACCCAAGATGCCATCACCTCGTATGGATCACAGGAAGAGCCGTGCAACACGTCTTCCTGTTTCCAATCCTCCACACTTGCTTCCTAAGGGCCGCGCAGCAGCCAGCGTGGTCTTTCAAAAAATAATCATGTTCAAAACCCTTCCATTTGCAGTTAGAATACATTAGAAGCCCTCACTGGTTTCTCTAATCTCATGCTCAACATTCTTCTCCTCACTCACTCTCCCTTCAGTCATCCTGTTCCTCTTTGAGATCCTCAAACGTAACCTTGCTCCTTCTACTTCTGTCTCTGCCTGGAATAATCTCCTCCAGAAGTTCACATGACAAACTCTTTCCCATCATTCAGATCGCTGCTTACATATCATCTCTCAGAGAAGCTTCTCCTGCAACCTCTCTCCAAAAAACATCATTTCGTTCTCTTTAATTTACTGAGCTTTCTTTATCTTCTACATGCACTGCTACCTGAAATTATATTTGCTTCTCTATTTATCCCGTCTCTTCCACTAAGTATGAGTTTCATGAGGGGAAGAACTTTGTTCTGAACACTGACCCATCCCTCGTAAGCAGAATGATGGTAGATCATGGTAATCACATATTTGTTAAGTAAAAAAACGAATCCAACTCATTGGAAAAAATTCTAACTGGAAGGTGTTAGATAAAATACTCACATGTCTATTGCTTATGGGTCTTTTCAAGAAAACATCTCTAGAAATATGGTCTGCTGTTCTTGCCACATCTTCCAAAAATCGATAATCTGAAATTTTCAAAGTAGAATAAACAAATGACATATACCAACAGGCCAGCGAACATCAAAATGCTATGCGTAAAATGGCTCACCACTCAGGAGATTCATTTCAGTAAACTGTTGTATTGAAATATATGCGGTTTTATCTCGAACTCCATTACATGTCAGTTCTGCTTTGTGTTTCTTCACACAGGGCAAACTGAAGAAACAGAGGAAAAACTTTGATATTTTAAGGTAAGAAAGGTACAGATATAGGTAATAAGGTTAAAAGTTACATATATACCTGCAGGAATATCGCATACAACGTGGACATCTGTACTTTGCTTCTTCTGTACCACAAGTTTCACACCTACAAAAGCCCACATAATCAATTAATTCTATGTCTCTACTCATAAATTTTGAAGGGTGATTCAATCACTCTTCACAATTTATAAACATGTAACTATAACATAACAAATGACAAATAACCCATAAAATGTTTGATAACTGTCAAACATTTGAAAATTCTTTCTCCATATAACTACATTTACAATGTTTTAGTATATATAGCTCAAGAAAATACATATTAAGTTTTTAAAAACTCATCTCAGTTTTGACTTCTTTTTCTACTGTAATCCGAGAATGAGATTATTCACTGATGTTTTAGCTTGTTATTCCTGACAAACTGGTAATGCTTGGGTGATTTTATGTGTGTCTAACCCGAAGTCCAACCCATGAACTATGTTTAGATATTTCAAAGTATGCACTCCAGAAAAAGAATACAAGACCCATTCAAATTTAGAGAGTACTAGTAGTATCTTTTTTCCTGAACTCCATACCTAACCTAGAATAAGCATCAAAATAATCTAGAAATGTTATTACCATCAACTGCTCTTCTAGGCTCTTGGAATACTGACAAAAGACAGTTACTTCTGTCTGGCCCACTGCTCTAGACAGTAATATTCCTAAGATTCTGACCACTCTTTTAGTTCCTTTGTTGCCACATGATCACACACTAATAAAATTAAACCAACAGCAATAAATATTGATAGCACCCAAATGGAAGCTTGACAACTGAATGACGCTGACTGTATTTTTGTCTAATTTTAACTTAACCCATCTTGTCACTGTTGGGTTTTATAAGACTTTTTCTCATCTCTATCCTCCCTCAAAGGAATACTCAGTCAAGAACATATTAAGTCAAGCCAGAGCGGGTTCCAAAGGGTCTTCAGGTCCCCCCAATTTTCACTATCCTTAACTTAACCACAACCCACTGGATAATATCAACTTCACGTTTTCACTGAATTTGTTGTCATCTGACAACATGCTCGGCTTCCCACCCCATACCCGTGCCCTGACCCCCACCAACAGTACTCAGACTCCAGAAACCCACACTCGTGCTTGTTTTCCCCTATTCCCCCTTCTGCTCAGAGCGCAGTTTCCAGACCTGAGCACTCCACGCCCTTATCCCCCTGTCCTACCTTGACATGGCCAGTTTCCGCTTGCAGCCCACTGGGTGATCCATCTGAGGCTCTTCCTTCACTTTGGGGTCATCCATCACTTCTTTCTTCAGGAGGTCCTTCTCTCCTTTTATTCCATCCATCCTCTCCTCTTTTATGTCCGGAGCGACGGACATGGCCTCCTGTTTTATGTCCAAGTTACCCTTCTTCTCTTCCTTCACTTCTGCCCAGTCCATCGCCTCCTCCTTCACCTCCACCTTCTCTTCCTTTACCTCTGGCTCATCCATCTTCTCTTCTTTCACCTCCAGACTACTGTCCACCTCCCGCTTCACCTCCACCACGCCTGCTTTCTCCTCCTTCACCCGAGGCTTGTCCTCCGCCTCCTGCTTGATCCAGCGGCCGGCCGACACGCCTCCGTCTACTTCCGGCCAGTCCATCCTTTCTTGCTTCACAACCGTTAAGCCCGTCGGCATCCCCTCCGCCCTCTGTCCACTTCCCTCCTCTCCATCCCCTGTCTTCTTCATTCCGGTCGGTCCGGCCTCCTCCATCCCCGCCGAGTCCCAGCCTCCCTCCCCAGCGGACTCCGGACTCGGCCGCGCCCCCCCGGCTGCGCGCTGGAGACCTCCTCCCGGCGTCCCTTCATTTTCCCCAGCAAACTCCATCGGCTGACGACCCTTGGCCCCCGCTGCCCCTCTGTCCTTCACTGTGGCTGCTCCACGCCCACCGGAAGGACGAGGGTCCCGAACACCGACAGCAGCCCACGTGGGAGCCGAGAAGCCGCAAGCCCCGAACGCCGGCCCGGAGCGACCGTAAAGCCACTCTTTTGCGACTCGCCGCGTCACGACTTGTAGCGCGCTTTCCGGCTCCGCGGCGGTCCTGCCGGAGCCTGTGGGGGAAGCTGCATGAGGCCACGCCCACTGATTCCTTTCCGCCCCACCCCCCACCCCCAGTGGCCCGCCACGCTCTTCTCGTTGGGAAAAGAGTGGAGGCGAGAGGGCTTGCCTCAGCCCAGAGGTTCGAGACCAGCCTGGGCAACTTCGTGAGGCTTCGTCTCTACAATAAGTTAAAAAAATTAGCCGGGCACGGTGGCGCGCGCCTGCAGTTCCAGCTACTTGGAAGGCTGAAGCAGAAGGATCGCCGAGCCCAGCTGGTCGAGGCTTCGGTGGCCGTGAGCATGCTACTGCACTCCAGCCTGGGGGACAGAGTGAGACTCCGAACTCAAAAAAAAAAAAAAAAAAAGTGGAGGAGCCTGGCCGAGAGAAACAAAGTGAAACCCGTACACTCTTGAAATGGGAAGACACACCCTAATCTGTGCTAACAATTAAATCTAATCTTGTAGGAAAATGGAGGACAGACCTGATGTCACGCCTCTCCAAGCTTTGGGTTCTTTCACCTATAACAGGGACAAATCTTTTAGTGTCGTTGTGAAGACTACGTTAAGTCATGCATGGGAGTTAGCTAGCAGTGACTGTCACAAACTCAATATATGGTGGCTGCTGCTATTACTGGGAATCCTGGCAAATTTCAGGTTAAGAAAGAGGATACTAACTTGTCTTCATCTTTTGTTATCGGTCTGTATTGAGTACTACAATTTTAATACCTTTTTTCCTCTCTTAAAATGTGTATACATTTTTGGGGCACTCTCTGTATGTATATATATCCCTGTTTAAAGACTTGGCCAACATTCAGTCCCCAGGAGTGGATCTAAGCACACACAAATACATACATACTCAAACAACCAAAAACCACCCCTGCATCTGTTTCAGCTACTTTTAAAAATTTTTACTATTACATGCTAGGCATCAGGCACTCTCACCTAATCTTCACATAATATCTGTGAGCTGTATTTTCTTTGCTTGCTGCAATGAGGAGACTTCAAAGAAATGGCTTCTCAGGTATGGGCTGCTTTGTGCTACCCAATCAGATGCTGTTAGTTTGCAGGGCATTCAGCTGTTATCATTCACTCACACATGGTTCAGGAAATGGGGGCTTTGAATGGGTGAGCAGAGTGAGGAAGAGTGGTAATTTTGAACCTTGGAACACCACTGATGGAGTAGTGCTGAGAAAATCCACTTATGAGTTGTAAGGAGGGAGCTTCCAGAGGAATCACATGGACAGTCTCTTTTGGAGAGAGAGGTGCCAGTTGTTTTTGGAATCAAGGAGAACCTGATCCAATTTTCAGGCTAGATTACATGTTGACACTGGGAAAAGGGGCTAAATAACAGAAAGAATTCATATTACAGCATGTATCAGTAATTTGTTCCTTTTTATTGCTGAATACCATCATGTATCAGTTGTTGGGCATTTGGATCATTTCCAGTTTGGGTTATTGAGAATAATTCTGCGTCTACATTCATATACAAGTCTTTGTGTGGACATGTTTTCTTTTCTTAAATCAAAACCCAGGAGTGGAAATTGCTGAGCTCTATGGTAAGTTTAATGTTTGAGAAATGGCCACACTGTTTTCAAAGTTGCTATACCGTTTTACATGCCCACTGACTGAGGATTCCAGTTTCTCTACATCCTTGCCAATACTTTGTATTGTCAGTTTTTTTATTATAGTTGTGTAGTGGTATCTCAATGTGGATTTAATTTGTGTTTTCTTAATGACTAATGAAGTTGAACATCTTTTCCTGTGCTAACTGGCTGTATATTTTCTTGGATGAAATGTTTATACAAATCTTTTGCCCATTTTTAATTGGCTTGTTTTTTTAATTATCAAATTAGTCGTTCTTCATATATTATGGATGCAGGTATGTGATAGCCACCAAGATGTTCCCTTATGATCCCTACCTGGGATCAAATCAATGTGTAGAATGTTCTCTTCATTATCCTGGGATCAGTCTGTGTTACTGATAGCAGAAAGCAGAAGTAACATGTTACTTCTGAGATTAGGTTTAGAAAAAGGCTGTGGTTTCTGTTTTAGACTCTTGCTCTTTTGTTCTGTTTCCTAGATCACTCAGTGGGGGAAGCAAGCTGCCATGTTGTGAGAAGCCCTACAGATAGGCCCATGAGGCAGGGAGCTGAAAGTCTCTGGCTGTTTATAGACAGAATTGCATCCCCTCACAATTTTTTTTTTTTTTTTTTTTAATAATTAATCAGTATTTTTATTATAGTTTTGTGGGGTACAGTTAAGGGTTAGGTGTACAATTACGTTTCATTCAGACACCCTGTTGATAAGAGGTGTTTTCCCAGCCCCAGACAGATATTTGCTACTGTTAATCCCATCTCCCTCCCCCCCATAGTTTCCTGGTACCGTCAGTCATTTTCTTATAGTATTACATTGGATGTTCAAGGTCCATTATATGAGTGAGAACATGTGATATTCTGATCTTTGTTTCTGTGTGAGGTCACTCAGTATTATAGACTCTAGTTCCATCCAGGTTGCTGCGAAATTCATGATTTTGTTCTTTTTTATGGCTGCGTAGTATTCCATCGTGTATATGTACCACATTTTTTTAATCCAGTCCTCTTTTGATGGGCAGCATGGTTGTTTCCAGGTTCTTGCTATTGTGAACAACGCTGCGATAAACATACGTGTGCAGGTATCTTTTTTATAGAGTGATTTGTGTTCTTCAGGGTATATTCCCAGTAGGGGGATTGCAGGGTCATATGGAAGGTCAATTTTTAGAGTTTTTAGGAATCGCCACACTGCTTTCCACAGAGGTTGCACTAGTTTACACTCCCACCAGCAGTGTAGAAGTGTTCCCTTTTCACCACACCCTCTCCAGCAGCTGTTATTTTTTGAGTTGTTGATAATTGCCATTCTGACTGGAGTTAGGTGGTATCTCAGTGTGGTTTTGATTTGCATCTCCCTGATGATTAGTGAGGTTGAGCACCCCTCACAATTTATATGTTAAAGTCGTAACACCTAGTACCAGAGATAGGGCCTTTAAAAAGGTGATTACGTTAAAAGGAGGCCATTAGGGTGGGCTCTAATTCAATCTGACTGATATCCTTATAAGAAGAGGTAATTGGGGCACAAAAAGAGACGTCAGAGATGTATGCACACAGAAAAATAACCATGTGAAGACATGGTGGCCATCTGTATGTCAATAAGAGAGGGCTCAGAAAAAACAAACCTGCTGACACCTTGATCTTGGACTTCTAGCTTCTAGAACTACGAGAAAATAAAGTTCTGCTGTTTGAGTCATTCAGTCTGTCCTATTTTGTCACAGCAGCCCTAGGAAACTAATACCCTGGCCAGTGACCAGCAAGGAACTCATGCCTGTCCTCAGCCATGTGAGTGAGCTTGGAAGAAGATTCTCTGGTCCCAGTCCAGCTTTGGCATGACTGCAGCTCTGGTCCACAGCTGCGCTCAGATTCTTGACACTCAGAAATTGTGTGAGATAATAAATGTTTGTTGTTTTAAACTGCTCAATTTCTGGGTAATTGATAGACAGCAATAGATAATACCAATTCCTTGCAGGGTAGCACACATATTTTCTCAGTCTGTGACTTTTCATTTTCTTAGTTGTGTCTTTAAAAGATTCGAAGTTTTACACTTTAACCAAATTCAACTGATCATATTTTAAATGAGGCACTTTTTATGTCACACTAATATGTTTTTGCTTCGCCCAAGGTTTCAAAAAGATTTTCCATGTATATATTCTAGAAATTGTATAGATTTAGCTTTTACATTTAGGTCTACAATTCATTTTTAGTTGGTGTTTGTTTATGCAGTCATCTCTCTGTAGCTGGGGGATGAGTTCTAGGACCCCTACCAAAATCTGTAAATAGTCCACCCTCGGAGAGTTCCATATCTGCAGATTCAGCTGTGGATCAAATTTGGCAACTGGGTGAATTCACAGATACAGAACTGAGGATATGAACAAAAAACTGTAGTACAAAAAAATGGTTTAAGTTCTTTTTCTTACACATGGATACCTTATTGTTCAAGAACTACCGGGGGTGCCAAAAGTAGAAATACACATTTTAAGAGATGTTTTCTATGTATTATCTTTCGCAGCTGAATTATATTACACTGGCAGTGTATAATATGACATTCATTCAAACATGCTTTTGCCATTTTTTTTGGACTACCCTGCCTGTGGCATGGTGATGCTAGCATTTATTTAATGCCATCTTTTGAGTGAACGTCATACTTAAAATGTGTATACATATTTGTTGAAAGACTATCCTTATCCCTTGACTTGCCTTGACATTTTTTTGTTTTTTTGTTTTTTTTTGAGTTGGAGTCTCACCCTGCCACCCAGACTGGAGTGCAGTGGCACACTCCCAGCCACCGCAGCCTCCACCTGCTGGGTTCAGGCAATCCTTCCACCTCAGACTTCCAAGTAGCCGGAACTACAGGTGCGCGCTACCATGCCCGACTAATTTTTGATTTATTGTGGAGATGAGGTCTTGCCAAGTTGCCCGGGTGGGTCTCGAACCTACGGGCTCAGGCAATCCACTTTCCTCAGTCTCCCAAAGTGCTAGGATTACAGGCAGAGCCACCAAGCCCAGCCACCTTGAGGTTTGAAAGAAATAAATTGACCACAAAGATAGGACTTATTTCTGGAATGTATCTTTTTGTTTTATTGATCTATATATCTATCCTTACACCAATGCCATGGTCTCTTGATTATTATAACTTTATAGTAAGTCAAACTTTGTACTTTTTAAAAATTGTGTTGGCTCTTCTAAGTCCTTTATACTTCTCTGTACATTTTAGTGTCAGCTTGTCAACTTCTACAAAAGATCTTGCTGGGATTTTGATAAG